TCCACCACTATGCGTCGATATGCAAACGTCTCTGCACCCCGCACCACACAAATATGCGTCGCTAGCCCAAACGTCTTTGAGCCCCCGCACTCCAATATGCGTCGATAGCCCGGATGTCTCCGAACCCCCGCACTCATATACGTCGATAGCACAGATTTCTCTGGCCCCCGTACTCATATACGTCGATAGCTCAGATTTCGTTGGCCCCCGTACTCATCACATAATCCATACTTTATAATATATATTTATACTTATATATGTATTTAACCATTTAACATCAATCAATCCAAACAATAGTTGAATCCTCTAGACCTCCTAATTCCGGTTTACATTTAATAAACTAACTATCAAGCAAGACTCAACCAGACTCAATTCAAACAGACGGATCATGCTTCAAAATCTAAACTAAGATAGGAAGAATTCTACACTAGTATTGGGATTCACGGAATCGAACCTCACCTTAGTCACTGGCTGGAATGATCAACGGAAGATGGTCAACTGACGTCAACTGCAACACGAGGGAATCAACGACTTAGGCTCAAAGTCTCAGGAAATAAACTTTCCGAAAATGGAAACTTTCCTAAAATAGAAACATTCCTAAAATAGAAACTTTCCTAAAATAGAAATTTCCTAGAATAGAAACTTTTCTAAAATAGCAGCTTCCCTAAAATGGCGGTTTCCTAAACTAGAAATTCCTCTAACTAGAACTTTCCAAAACTAGAATTAGAGAAGCAATAAACTTACCGGAACTATCGCCCAAAAACTCGCCCAGGGACTTGACCGAAACTCTCGCCAGAAAAAAATACTTAGTGACAGGTCGTCGAATAATTCAACAACTTATCACACGCAAAGAAATACTTTGACTTGATGAGAATAAAAGAGAAGGGGGAAGTTTATTATATAGGGGAAGGGAATGGAGGTTAATTTTCTAAACTTCCAATGTGGGACAAAATAACCTACACATGGATTTTAATTAAATAAGTAAATGGGCTATCCCCCCATGGGTCACGGTCGTTACAATGTTATTTGTCAAGCAATATATAGACTTTGTTTTAAAGACCAATATACAGATTTTTTTTTGATGAAATTTCAAATTTATTGATCAATCAAAGAATGTTATTTACAGCTACACAAAACTGATAAAAAAGATTAGCTTTAGTGCAAAATGAAATCTAAAGTGTGACTTGGAACCATCTTCTAAGTAACCCCTCGAGCTTGTGTCCTTGCTTATATCGAAGTGAGCTGATGCAATTTCGCACTGCCCTGTCTATGAGTCGGCGTACGTGGTCAGTTGAGTTCCGATTTTGCTGATGCCGCCTTGCATTTCTTTCCCTCCAAATGTGATACACTATAGTTTGGAAAAGCATTTTTGCAACAATAGAATCGAGACTCTTCCCACCCATTGACTGCAAACGATTCACAGTCCAGAGCCAGTCCGGATTGATGTTTCTTCCAACAAGCTGTCGTGCCAGTGGCTCCCAGATCGTGTACGAGTAAGGGCAGGCGAAGAAGAGATGGTCTCTTGTTTCGTCTCTCTCTCCACACAGCTCACAACCCTGTGTTATACCCCACGCTCTCATACGATCTCTGGTTGATAGCTTGTTTCGAATGGCTAGCCAGGTGATAAAAGAGTACCTAGGGACCCCTTGTGTGATCCAAACCACTCTGCTCCACTCCACTTTACTCCTTTTAACTCTGAGTTGGTCCAAGTCTTAGCTGCTGAGAAGGTAGACTTGTAGTCATCCTCTCCATGTCTCCATAGAATAATATCGCTTCCTTTGTCTGGTGAGGGAGGCGCAGTAGCCAAGATAATCTCATAAAGCTCATGAAACCGACGGTTTCTCCTTCCTCGTATGTTCCACTCAGTACAATATACAGATTTATAAGGTATAATTAGTAGTAATGATGTTAATAAATTATTTTAAACTGAAGCACATCACACTCTCGCTGGTGATGAAACCAAATATATACATAATATTTATATATTAATATATTTATGATAAACACAAGTGAGTGATTTTAAATTATATAAAGATTAGCTATAAGATGCAATAAATTAGTAATATTTCTATAAACAGAATTATTTATTTTATTTTAATTAGTTATATATATATATAAATATATATTTTATTTCATATGACTTTTTGTATTTAATTTTCTTTTAACAATAAATAATATTTTACAATAAAATTAAATATTTTTTAAAAAATAGTTTTAATAAATATATTAATTATATTTATTTTACATTATTTGAACTTTCTTTAATTTTTCAATTCTGCAAATTATATTTTCACCAATAAAACACAATTCCGCCCTATTAATTTTACTAAAACCGCACTTGTCCCGCAAATCGCACGAACCACTGTTGGACTGTACCACACTTTAATTCTGCACCGCTTATATTATAAAAACCGCGGTTACCATTCGGACCCTAAGAATCTTATTATATAAAGTTTGGTTTTTCAAAGTTACTTATTAACATGATCGCGATACATGTCAATTATATATTTAAGATTATGACATGTGTTAATACTAATTTACCTTTTATAAAATCATTAAAAGAAAATAATTGTCAAAAATGTTTGATAGTAATTATCTTTTTTTAATATTTTAAATTTTTAAACCATAAATTGTAAAAGAGTGTTAATTTTATTTTAATAAAATCCTAATTAAAAAGATCATAAACCAAAAATAATTATCATTATTCACATATTAACATAATTTTTTGAAAACAATAATATAATTTTCGTTTTTTAAAATCTTATACCAAAAATGATCTGTACAAATAACTTATTAAATACTGATTTTCCTTTTTTAAGAAAATAATAAAAATAAATAAATTTGAAAGTAATTATCCTTTTTAAAAATATGAAACCAAAAAAATTGTAAAAGACTGTTTAATGTTAATTTTCTTTTATTCAAATCCTAATTAAAAATACAATAATCCAAAGAGAACTATACTTATTCATATATTAACAAGAGTTTTTTGAAAAAAAATGTAATAGTAATTTTCGTTTTTACAAATCCTATACAAAAAAAAATTGTAAAAAAGTTTTTAATACTAATTTTCCTTTTCTAAAATCATAAACAAAAGAATAATGTAAAAAATTGATAGTAGTTATCCTTTAAAAATCTTAAACCAGAAAATTTTAAAAGAGTGTTATATGTTAGTTTTGATTTATTCAAATCATAATTAAAAAGATCATAAACCAAAAAGAACTATAATTATTCATATATATATATATATATATATATATATATATATATATATATATATATATATATATATATATATATATATATATATATATATATATATATATATATGACTAAGCTTTCTCATATTTTGCCATTTCTCATATTTGATCACCAAACATAATTATTGATTTAAGAAAAATATTAAGTGAGTTTTTTGCATGATCTTTCACATTTTCGTGTGTTATTTTTTTTAGTTATCATGTTGTACAACGTAAGTTAATGTCGGTATTATGCTTATGTGTATTTGTTTGTATTGACCATATGAAATTGGTTATGCTAGGTAAGTTAATGGCAACGCAAATTTACTACTTTAATACGTTTATTTATGCTTATGTATGTTCGTTCTATTTATTATTTTTAACTGAAATCGTAATTCAATTTGCTATTAGGAAATGTGATTCCAAAAATATTTTATTTTATATATAATTTCATTATTAAAAATAATTTGTTTATCATGTAAGAAAATACTATTCAAGGTTATTTGTATTTTTATCTTATTGAAATGTTGGGAGATGGATTACGTGAAGGAATCTTATTGAAATCTGCAATTTTAATTTGTAAAATTGTAATAAAAACTATGAACTCTCAGATCATAAATTTCAGATAATATTGACCAACTGAAAGATTCCATACGATTTATATGGTAATATTCATAATTTTATTAATGAGTTTGTAACTATAAATAAATCTCACACAACTTATGCAAAAAAGAACCCTAAATCTATAATTAAATTATTTATACTCTTTATTAAATTAAAACATCAAACAAATCCCGTTGCAACGCATGGACCTTATTTAGTAAGTAATAAAGCACAAAACATACACACTAATGTGATGACTTTCAATAATAAAATATAAGCATCACAGATGATTAACAAAGAGAGCTCATACAATTGAGCATTAGCTTATAAACATCGACAAGATCTCTTTTCAATCGAATGATTTTCTTTCCTTGAAACAAGGATAGATAAATATTGTCGACTAAAGCTCCTAAGCTCATATTGTGTATGAATTCGGTTTTACAAACCATGAATTGATAATAAACATGATTTGAAGAAGGAGTAGATATAGACTAAAATATAAGGTAATAAAAATCTATAACTATTAGTTAAAGATCAGTAAAGTTTCGTACTGATAACGTATGATAAGTAAAGAAGAGAGAGAATTTGTATCTTATTCATGTATAAAGAGATCTTTTATATGTTTGAAATTAAAAAAAAAATTATATAGGATTACAATAACTTGGAGATCAAGTAGAACTTGGAACGAAGAACAATTAAATTTACTATTTTCCTTAATGTACAACACATATTATTCATAACAAATATAGGAAATTTACAATTTTCTTTTCTTTTCCTTTACTGATTTTATAAACGGAATTACGTTTGATGACACGTGTCTCCAAGAATCCTTGGAACCAAGATAAATATGCATTACTATTCAAAAGGTTAGATTTTGGACGTATAAGGTTGAAAAGGATGATTTCTTATCTTCGAATTGCATATATTAGTCACTCGTACAAATGTTTGTCAATCCTTTGCGAATATCTTTATTTAGAAGAAAGCCAAAGTTTGTTGACATAACAACCCATTACAAGGAAAACTCAGATGCCTTGTCCGTCGTATGATTTCCATCTTTCTATCACTACTTTAAACTCCTCATCTCTTTTCCTTACCTGAAAAGAAGATAAGTTGTAAATTAGCATATACGTGTCAAATCAGTACCTTTTACAACATCATTATGTACCACCTCAACCATGGGGTTCCTTCCTCGGAGCAACATATCCACACTCTTTTCAGTCTGCACAAGAGTAAGCGAGATAAGGTATTGAATGTCCACAAGAATAGTGACTCCAGATGCAAGAACGGATATTTATGAAAAAAAGATCAAGTATGAAGCATACCTGGTGCGCAATCCAATAATCTCTCTCTCTCATCTCGATCAGGAAATAAAAAGTTGGGGGAGCTTTTCTCTCGAGAATGCTTTTTTGGCTCCTTCTCGCCCGCGCTTCTTCATCTCCCAGAGTGACAGTCTCAATACCACCAATCTATAAACCAAACCAAAAAGGAGAAAAGCTTTGTGGAAACCAGAAGCAAAGAAGAACATTTCATTTGTTTTTACCAAGTCTGAAAGAGTAGGGTTCTTTATGATGTTCTGGAGCTGCTCTCCATGAGCAGTACCAATCAACATCACTCCCCTTTCAGCAATGGAACGACAGGCAAGGGCTTCAGCTTCTGTGCCGATCTCATCAACGATGATCACCTGAGGCATATGGTTCTCTACTGCCTCGATCATCACTTTATGCTGCAAAGATGGCTTAGGTACTTGCATTCTACGCGCACCTCCAATAGCAGAGTGCGGAATATCGCCATCTCCTCCTATCTCGTTGCTCGTATCAATTATCACCTAAACACACATATAACGAAATCATGGCTAAGAAACAATGACTAGTGTATATGAGAGATAGGAAACAAATCCCACCACTCTTTTCTGGAATTCATCAGACAAGACACGAGCCATCTCTCGCAAAACAGTGGTCTTCCCAACACCGGGCCTAAGATCAAACCACCATCAAAAAGACATAAAAATGGAGTTAAATGGGTAAGAGAGGCGGGGAAAGTACCGTCCAACAAACAAGATGCTTTTGCCGTAGTGAAGAAGATCATAGAGCATGTCAATGTGACCACTCACAGCTCTCCCAACCCGACAAGTTAGACCAACAATGAAGCCTTTCCTATTGCGAATGGCAGATATCCTGTGCAATGTACCTTCAATTCCAGCTCTGTTATCAGCCCCAAACTCACCTACCAGCTCTTGAGCATCCTCTAGCTCTTCCATGGATACCTAAGCTAGTATTTTCATGGACACACAAGAATCAAACAAATGAAATGAAGACACTAACTAACATGGGTTTACCTCGATGTTCCTAAGATACTGCCCTCCTCGTTCTCCGAGATAACGTGCTTCAGGTGGTCTCCCCAAGTCCATTATCACCTAAAAATCATCACCTTGGGTTTAAAATTGAAGAAGAAGAAGAAGAAGAAGAAGAAGAAGAAGAAGAAGTGAAGAGTTAACAACCTCTACGAGCTGGTTTCTGCGGGGATCGTCGAGGAGACGGTGGCGCAGATCTCTGGGGAGAATCTACTCTACAGAGACGAAAGGGTTTAGGCAAAATAGTATCAGACTGGAGTGTAGAAGAGAGGTGATTTTTAGACCTCCAGGAATGCACTGAGGTTATCGTTCACGATCATAGATGAGGACTTCGGAACAGCCAAGGAAACCGGAAGTTCACGGCGGACTGGGATAAGTAGGCGGCAAGCCTCGCCGCCCCATGGGAAGCACACTCCGGCCATCTTTCCCTGCAACCACCGAGTGGATAAGAAAGAAGATTCCAGTCACCCCGACAAGAAAAAAAAAAGGTACATTTTTAAGTTATTGTTCTTTGGGCTATCGAAAACTCTTACGAAGTTGGGCTTTTTCTTCAAATTTTGTATATGCAAAATCTTTTTTTTTTTTTTTTTGAACGCAAATCTATTATATTAAAAGAAGTCACAATTTCTCTTCATGTGTAAGATTTTAAAAAATTAACCATTGCTAGGAAGTAGTATTTCATTTATATCTTAATAACATTTTAGATTACTTAATTACATATCTTTTGATATCTTTTATTTTATTTGAAATATGTGTAATAACATGTGTAATATTTTAAATGTTTAGTTATTTACTCCATAATATGAAGCTAAAATGTTTATTTTTGTTAAAATTTCTAAATTTGAGAAATATTATAATATCTTTAAAGATAAGAATAAAACAATATTTTACCAATCTTTACATATATTTACAATTTTAATAATGAAATAATAATTCAAAATAATATATATAGAAGAAGATACAAATACATGTGAAGGTTTGAAACAATCTATTCGATGAAAAACTAATATATGAGAAATTTTTTATTTTTTATTTTTGGCAACCTTCTGATCTATTACTCAAGCTTGAGGTGGTCTGGGAATCCAGATCGGAATAGAACAACCAACATACATGAGATCCAGATAAAATGAACGGACAGTCTTAGCTAGATGATCGGACACAACATTTTGAGATCGAGGTACATAAGAAATCTTAAAGTATGGGAAACAAATCCTCAGCGTCGAGATCCTCTCCAGTTCCGTCGAAAAGCTTGGCCATCCATGGGGATCCTTGACCATTGCTAACAATTCCTTGCAGTCCGTCCCAAAGCTCTGACATGGCGAATGTTGAAGCATGTTCTCCATTGCCCACCGCAGAGCTTCCAGCTCAGAATGCAAAGCCGACTCCACTCTACTCACATTACGCATCCCCATCAGTTGACTATTTCCCATGCTATCCTTCCAGTCCCAACCACAGCCAGAAAATTGCTCCATAGAGGTCCAGGAACCATCTATCATACAAATATCTCGTAGGCTTAAGGCCTGCCGTTCAGTATCATTGTCCTCTTGTGTGGTCACAACATCCTGCTCATTAGCTTTGAACCAGGCAAGACACTCACTCTCTGCAAACCGGGCCAGTTCCAAAGGGTCTCTATCTATTCCTCTGAACAACTTATCATTTCGAGCCTTCCAAATATACCATATCAACCAAGGATAAGGATTTCTCTCTATTTCAGGCCCACCAATACTCTTCTTCCGCCAGAACAGATAGTCCATATTCGAATACGTGCTCTCCAAAGGGAATAAAGCTACACTGGTAGGTATAGATGCTAAGGCCCATACCTGTAAAGCCGGTGGGCACTGGAAAATTGCATGTTCAATTGTTTCATCCGGTTCTCCACATCTTGGGCAGAAATTGTCGCATCTCATGTGTCTGTGATTCAGTCCACTCGTGACAGCCACCTGGCCCGATATAATCTACCACATAAGATGACGCATTTTCGGGGGAGCTTTTACCTTCCAAACTTGTGCTTGAAGCCTTTTAAAGCTAGGTTCATCTACCAAGTCCTCATCCTCTTTCATTAATATATTACGAGCTACCCAATAGCCGGATTGACTGTATACTGCCCACTCCTAGTGTAACTCCAGCAATGTGTGTTTCTCCGATGGGTCGAACTAATAGCTATACTCCTTATGAGAGGTATATCAGCAGCGTCAACATAGCATGCCAGCCGCTCCAGATCCCAAGACTTTGTTTCTTGATTAATAAGATCACTCACTCTCATATTCGGATGCAGAACCGGAGCTGATGCCTGCGCTGATCTCGCTGGGAATGTGGGAATCCATGGATCCTCCCATGCCTTCACTTCATACCCTGAATGAATTTTATGTCTAACCCCCAATAACAATAGTTCACGTGCAGCCGAGATACTTGTCCACACATACGATGGACTATTGACAGTAAGTTTTCGCAAAGGCGAACTTAATCTGTGATATCTCCCTATCATAACACGAGCAACCAAAGAATCCGGATTTTGGGCCAATCTCCACAACTGCTTTGCTAGTAGTGCCAGGTTAAACTCATGTATCATCCTAAATCCAATTCCACCCTCCTCTTTAGGTAGACATAGCTTATCCCATGTTGTCCAGTGTAAGCCTCTCTTTGGTGGGTTAGAACTCCACCAAAACTGTGCAATGGCACTAGCCAAGGCATCACAGATCTCCAAAGGGAGCAAAAAGCAAGACATTACATATGTTGGGAGAGCTAATAAGATCGACTTGATCATAACCTCTTTGCCACCTTTGGACAACCATCTACCCGTCCATCCATCCACTCTGTGCCGAAGTTTATCCTTTAAGAAGGCAAACAGCTTACACTTCGAGCCACTGATATCCTCTGGTATCCCTAAGTAGGTTCCCATTCTTGCGTCATTTTGTATCCCAAGTGTATCTTTGATCTCCTGCCTAGCCTCTTGACCGATCCTCTTACCAAAGAGTAAAGAAGATTTGTCAAAATTAATACACTGTCCCGAGGCTTGTCCATATTTCCTAACCACTTTCATTACTTCTTCACATTCACGGGGCTCCGCCTTACAAAAGAACAGGCTATCATCAGCAAAGAGCAGGTGGGATACCGAGGGACACGCACGTGTAATGCGCATCCCCGTTATCTTTCCCTGATTCTCTGCGTGATTAAGAAGGCTAACGAGCGCTTCCGTGCATAGAATAAAAATGAAAGGGGATAAAGGATCTCCCTAACGTAGACCTCTCTCCAGAAAAATATTTCCTCGTGGCTGTCCATTCATGAGTACCTTGTACTTTACTGTCGTTATGCACCGCATAATCAAGGTAATCCATATTTCGGAAAACCCCATTTTCCTCATGGTGACTTCAATGAAAAACCATTCCATACGATCATATGCCTTACTCATATCTGTTTTGATGGCCATCCTCTTATTGCGCCCACTTGGTTTTGTTCTTAAGGCATGGAACAATTCCTGAGCAATCATTATGTTGTCTGATATCTGTCTCCCAGCAACAAAGGCTGATTGGGTTTCATAAATCCTATCTGGAAGAACCTTTTTAAGTATTTGGCATAAAATCTTGGAGATAATCTTGTAGCAAACATTACAAAGACTGATAGGTCTTAGTTGGCTCATCTGGTTTGGCTTCTCAACTTTTGGGATAAGAAATATATTAGTATCAGTGAGGCCTGTCGGAATAGTTCCCAGAAATAAGAATTCATTAACCATACGAGTTAAATCCTCCTTAACGATATCCCAACAATTCTGATAGAACAGGGCTGTCATTCCATCAGGTCCCGGAGCTTTCTCAGGATGCATAGCAAAGAGGGCTAATTTAACCTCCCACTCTGAAACTGGAGCTGTGAGCCCCTCATTGTCTGCAGGCGTAATTGTAGTGGTTACTTCAGATAGTGCCTCCTCAATCTCCTCCGGGTTCGAAGATTGAAATATTTGGCAAAAATAACTAGTAGCAATGGCTACCAAGCCTTCCTCATCGTCCACAACATTCCCATCTGCATCTAAAAGTTGAGTTATCCTATTCCTCGCTCTTCGCTGCTTCGTTAAAGCATGGAAAAATTTAGTGTTGCGATCACCCTCCCTTAACCAGAATACTCTACACTTCTGCTTCCAGAATAATTCCTCCGCCTTAAGGGCATCAGACAATTCTTTTAGAGCCGCCGCTATCTCCTCTGTAGTGGCATCATCATTAGAGGATAATCAATCCACCTTCTCTTTTAGCTCCTCTACAGTTTTCTCAGAATTCAGGTTGTGTTGCCTTTTCCAATCACATAATGCCCGCCTGCAGCTTGTAATGTGCTCCATAATACTTGCTCCCGGTGGTAGATCTGGTGATTTCCATCCTTCAAGTATAATCTGTCTGAGTTCCTCATTCTGAAGCCATCGTTTATCAAATTTAAAGTTTTTCGATCTCCGTGGCTTCTTTTTGAGAATGTCTGCCAGGATGGGCCGATGATCCGAACCCCAAAGCCTCAGATACTGAACTTTAGAATGAGAAAATTTCTCGTGCCAGTTCTCATTACCCACAGCTCGGTCAAGACGACATCTAACAGTAGCATTTCCTGCACGTCTTCCCACCCAGGAAAACATGTTCCCTATAAAAGGAAACTCCAGCATTCCACAATCACTGAGCATCTGCTTAAAAGGTAGAAAAGAACTATCAGTGCGCTGCCTTCCCCCCTCCTTCTCCTCATGGCAAGTTATTTCGTTAAAATCACCAATCATAAACCAAGGTCCGTTTCGTGTTGTTGAGAAACGCGTAAGACGTTCCCAAACTAATTCTCTCCGTTCTACAACAGGATCCCCATTAACAAATGTCATATAGACTTTTATTCCATCAATGACTGCCTCAATGTCAATCATTCTATTATTCGAAAATAAAATCTTAACTTGAAAATCATCCATAAAAAAATAAAGCTAATCCCCCGCTGAGACCAAGTGGCTCAACGGTAAACAAACGATCAAATCCTAAGTCGGCCTGAATGTCTTGCAACAACAGCCTCCTGTTCTTTGTTTCAGAAAGGAACAATAGTCCTGGGCGATGCTTCTGACACATCTCCGTAAGGCGTCGAATTGTGAGGTCAGTCCCAATTCCTCGACAGTTCCAACTGAGTGTCCTCATGGATGAAGGTGGGATGGGTCTTTGGATCCCATCGAACCACCGAGTTTGTTTACCTTGAGGCGATCTGTTCTCTCTTTATGGCTTGAACTTCTCATGGTACCCTTATCACCAGTTGGCTTGTGAGTTGTAGAGCTTAGGACTCTCAACCGTGGGGAGTCCCTACGTAGAACATCTTTCTTCTTGGGGGTTCTCCTGTTTCCACTCCTTGCCCCCTTTACACTTCTAGAGCTTCTAGCAGTCTCCTTATGTCATGTGTCCTGGCTAGCCACTGGTGCTTCCAACTCCATCAGCTCCTCATCAAACAAATCGTCGTCCTCATCCATTC